TATATACATATACACTGTATGTATAATATAGAATATTTAGAGTGTAATGGTAAAGGGTGTAATGGTAAAGGATGCATTAAAGAGTTGCTATTCTTCTATCTTGAGTACTTTCATTGCACAGTTCTCTTCTGCTGATTTCCACTAACAAGGTTTTTTATTTTTTTTATTTCAGAGGTGTGTGGTCCTACGATTTTTGAAGTTTCTACCACACAGAAATCTGGTAGGTAGTCTTTCTTCTTAAGATGTTGCTCTTTAACTATCCTAAATACTTGTAGTAATTCTCTGCTTATGTGGTTTGATAATGAAATAGAAATGTTTTCCAAAATAAAAGAACTTCAACAACCATTTAAGGTCTGTTCTGATTTTTCAAAGACTTCCGGGGACTTTTTGCAAAGATTTTTTATACAGCTTTCACTCAAGATTTACACATCTTTTAATTGGATTCAATGTATTTTGACTGTTGTGTCAAAACATTTATAAATGGTCCCCTTGGTTCATGACCCTTAATTATTGATCTTTGATGTGTCGGGTTGCACTGGACGATCAGTCTGGTTAGTGTCAGCATTTTGAACGCACAGTTAAAGGATTGAAATGGCAGTAGTGTGTGGGACCTATGTGTTGGGCCATGCCTTTAAAGTAGGGTTAAAGTGACATTAAACCCTCAGATTTTTTAACATAAACCAATACTGTAATGTGCGCCTTACTGTAATCCATGGTTGTTTCCCTTCTCTTTGCTGCTTTTCCTTTTTAAATCCTCATGTCTTATGATTGGGGAGAACTTCCCTTTTCAGCTCAGGGCCTCTTCCTGTAGTGCTGGCTCAGGTTACAAGCCTATAGAAAAGTATACACAGACACCATGTATCGATTCCTGAGACAAGGCAGTCTGCTGCAAAACAGAAGTTCTGCAGAGCATGAGAACAGATACAGATTTAAAAGGATTACATGGATTACAGTAAGGCACACATTACAGTATTATGTTACAAAATCTGAGGGTTTAAAGTCTCCTTTTTATTTTAACATATCTACTACTAGCAAGTATGCCACAACATCTTCCCGAACCGCCATGCAGGAGGAAGTGTGTGCTGGCACATGCGGAGTCCATATCACCAGATGGGGGAGCGGAGAAGACACACAGTGGAAGTGAATGCACACAGCCGGGAGCGTGCACACCAGACAGACTCCACGGGACATGGAAGAATCAGCAGTCTGCACTGGATCAGAGACCGGCAACAGTGCTGGATGGACTGCTGAAAACTACTGTAAGGAGGAAGATGTTCAGATCAAGAGGCATCATTTAAGGTAAGTCCTTATAGCAGCATTGGGGGGGAAAAAACACAAACGAGTGTTTAATGTCACTTTAAGGTAATACAGCACAATAATCACTTAAAGTGAGCCTAGTTTGTCCACCATACTGCATAAACTAGCATTACTACTTAATTATATTTTTTGAGCCTGGGGAAGATTCTGCATACAAGACCTCAACTTCTCCCCAAACCAAAATTAAGCCCCACCCATCTCATCAATAAACCCGCCCCCCCGACATTCAGTGATCAAATAGCAGTGTAATAGCATATGGGGGTCTTAGTGTTGGGATTGATAAGGCATAAAATAAATTATAGGCAAACAGCTAACTATAAAGGAAGCTATTTTACCTACCTAAGGATTTACACAGCCCACCTGCATAGCACAGCCCGCAGATGACACCACCCACAGGTAAGGAATACAATGTAGTCCTTTCTCCTCCCTCAGCCTTCTGACTGGACAGTGAAAGAACAACAGCAAACTAAGGAGATCATCCTTATGTTCCCTTCTCCTATTGCCATGTTTCTTGTCAAAACTTTTGTACACTGCACATCTTATTGGCCCTGCCTCTCCCTTTGCCAGAGTGCTTTTGTATAGAGGATTCATACGTTTGAATTCAGACTCAGCTTACACTAGTTGCATTTTAAATAACACATTTAATATTTTGTTAATGAATACAGAACTGTATTAGTTTGCCTTTTATATATGTGATCTGATTAGAGTTCAGCTATTCCGCCTTGGATTAGGATGCAGATGCCTCCCAGGCTCAAAGAAACTGATTAGGTGACACGTACAAGTGTATCCAGGCACAACAAAGTGCATACACTTTACCAGTAATGTTATTTTTTAAATAAAGAACAGTTCTATATTGCCCTCTAAACAACACAATTTTTAATTAAAGCGTATCTAAACCCAAAAACAGAAATTAAATATATTGCAGCTTACTAATCCTGAAATGTGGTGGATGCATTGGTTTTCTTTTTTGGGCTTTTTTCCTTTTATTTTCAGCTGGTGATCCTGCCAGTAACACACTTCCTGTCCTCTCTTGTCTTTCACTCTTTGGAGGAGCAACAAAGCCACACTTGGATAGCAGTATTGTCTGCTTTTGAGAAGGTAGTGTTAGATTTACCAGCAGATTTAGATGAATTTGAATAACAAATTCATTCCAAACTCCAGCTAACATTTTTTATGCACTTACATTTTTTTTTCTTTTCAGGATAAAGGTTTTACATAAATTAATACAAGCTGACCATTACAAGCACCCCTGTCGGCGGTAAATGGTTTGTCTCAACCCTCTATCTGGCACTTTTGCTGGACAGCTTTGTCTGTTAAAGGAAGTTAAACAATTACAGATTTAATGGCAGAATCAGCAGGTGAAAATAAAGGAAAAAAGCCTACAAAAGACAACTACTGCAGCCACCAAATTGCAATGTTTTTTTCATTTTGGCTTATATATACAAACATTAAAGCCTAACTCTGGGCACATCAGAAGTAATTAAAATGGTGTTAGGCATGTATGATGTAATCTTTTAATGAATGTACAGGTGATTTAAACAGGATATTTTTGGTAAAGGATGCATTAAAGAGTTGCTATTCTTCTATCTTGAGTACTTTCATTGCACAGTTCTCTTCTGCTGATTTCCACTAACAAGGTTTTTTATTTTTTTTATTTCAGAGGTGTGTGGTCCTACGATTTTTGAAGTTTCTACCACACAGAAATCTGGTAGGTAGTCTTTCTTCTTAAGATGTTGCTCTTTAACTATCCTAAATACTTGTAGTAATTCTCTGCTTATGTGGTTTGATAATGAAATAGAAATGTTTTCCAAAATAAAAGAACTTCAACAACCATTTAAGGTCTGTTCTGATTTTTCAAAGACTTCCGGGGACTTTTTGCAAAGATTTTTTATACAGCTTTCACTCAAGATTTACACATCTTTTAATTGGATTCAATGTATTTTGACTGTTGTGTCAAAACATTTATAAATGGTCCCCTTGGTTCATGACCCTTAATTATTGATCTTTGATGTGTCGGGTTGCACTGGACGATCAGTCTGGTTAGTGTCAGCATTTTGAACGCACAGTTAAAGGATTGAAATGGCAGTAGTGTGTGGGACCTATGTGTTGGGCCATGCCTTTAAAGTAGGGTTAAAGTGACATTAAACCCTCAGATTTTTTAACATAAACCAATACTGTAATGTGCGCCTTACTGTAATCCATGGTTGTTTCCCTTCTCTTTGCTGCTTTTCCTTTTTAAATCCTCATGTCTTATGATTGGGGAGAACTTCCCTTTTCAGCTCAGGGCCTCTTCCTGTAGTGCTGGCTCAGGTTACAAGCCTATAGAAAAGTATACACAGACACCATGTATCGATTCCTGAGACAAGGCAGTCTGCTGCAAAACAGAAGTTCTGCAGAGCATGAGAACAGATACAGATTTAAAAGGATTACATGGATTACAGTAAGGCACACATTACAGTATTATGTTACAAAATCTGAGGGTTTAAAGTCTCCTTTTTATTTTAACATATCTACTACTAGCAAGTATGCCACAACATGAACACCCAGTCTGGTGCTGGTTCTTCAGCAAAAGGACATTGGTGTGTGGTGGAATGAGGAGCATCTTGCATTGAGTCATATGACTTGGTAGTTAAGAACCATATTTATTGGTAGTTTACTGTTTCAGGAATGCCCACCGTCAAAATATGCCCTGGTCCTGAAGCGGTTATACCAAGAACGCGGGCAATTTTGCTGTTGAGGTACAATCGATCCAGCGGCTATACAGTCGCTTATACTTGGCGGGAAATGCTGCCGCTTCCCCCGGGTTCCGCTGTTCCCCGTGCGGGCCCGGGACTGACACAGCTGGTCTCCCCTTACCCAAACGGAGGTAGATCAGCAAGCTTCTAGCCGCTGATCTCTCCTCTGATCACTAGATTCAGAAGTGATGTGTATTACATCACTTCCGGTGTCACTGTGCTTATTTTCCGGCTCTTAGAGCCAGGAGTAGAAGCTGGTGAAGCAAATCTCTGCTTCATCAGCTTCTTTGGGGGTCCCTCGGTGACATTAGGAGTCTGAAAGACCCCTTATGTCTCCATAAAGAGAACCTGTCACATCATATTTGCTATTACATAAGGGGCTTGATAACTTTATTGCTATCACAAAGGGGGCTAAGTGTAAAAAAAAAAAAACGAAACAATTTTTTAAAATGCAATTTTTTTTCTCAATCTCCCGTCCAAACGGAGGTAGATCAGCAAGCTTCTAGCCGCTGATCTCTCCTCTGATCACTAGATTCAGAAGTGATGTGTATTACATCACTTCCGGTGTCACTGTGCTTATTTTCCGGCTCTTAGAGCCAGGAGTAGAAGCTGGTGAAGCAAATCTCTGCTTCATCAGCTTCTTTGGGGGTCCCTCGGTGACATTAGGAGTCTGAAAGACCCCTTATGTCTCCATAAAGAGAACCTGTCACATCATATTTGCTATTACATAAGGGGCTTGATAGCCCCCTTTGTGATAGCAATAAAGTTAAGTGTAAAAAAAAAAAAGAAAGTAACAATTTTTTAAAATGCTATTTTTTTTTCTCAATCTCCCACCCTCACCTGCACGCACATACAAACGCAAGCAAGCATCGAGTGTGCAAAAACGAAAATTGCACTACACATGTTAACATATTGCTGCGAATGTCGAAGTGAGAGCAAACATTCTAGGGCCATTAATCACTGCTTACACTAAACCCATTAGCAGTAAAAGCTTTTAACATGTCGCCTATGGGAAATTTTAGGTATTGCAGTTTTTTTGCCGTTCTACAGGCGCATGCAATTTTAAGGCTTGACATGTTTGGTATCCATTTACCCGACCTGACCCTATCTTTTATATTTTACCAAAAAATTGGGTACTCTATTCTGTTTCTGTGCACTGTTTTGATGA